ATTGATAAGTTCTTGATCTGTTTCTTGTGCACTTGTAAGATGTGTGTAAACTACTAAAAGGAGTGCAGGTGTGGCATGACATACCGAATATCGTGTTCACCTCCGTGTAGTCCTTCTGACAGTCTAGACATAATGATGTACCATAGTTGAAGTCCTCTACAACTCCTTCAAACTGGTTACAAAAGGGCCTCCATTTCTGGAAAGAGCTTGACCGACTCGCCATGAGTGAAATCTAACATTAAACGCTTCAGAAACGCACCTCTTTAGCGTCTGCTGACTTCAATACTGAGCTCTGGAAACGCTTCCCGGAACTTAGTATATATCTGCTCGTCGGATTTAGTTAGTTTTAGAAGTTTGGGATCAACTGAGGAAAGAAGCTGTAGAGGAATAAAACCGCCAGTGAAGCTGCATATTCAGATGACAGGGTAGATTGTGACATTCATTCACTTACATTATAGTAAACTTCTGCGTGATTGTAGGCTTTCATAGCCCACATTACTTCCAGCTGGGCCTGATATCAAAAATAAAATCTTGTTCGCGTTTTAAAATGTTGATACTTTTAAGAAAATAAGTTCAATGTTTGCCATTTTCTTATTCATTTGCAAATATCCAAACATCCCCACTCGCATCATTTCCGTACGCCTCTGCTGGAAGAGAGAGCGCATGCGCAGCCGCGGTGGCTCCCTCTACCCCGTTTATTAAAGACAGAAATATTTATTGAGCTTTACAGTGTATTCATAAATCTAATACGTAAAACCCGTGCCTTTAAAAACAAATACTGCCACAAGAGACTAGAATTAACGTATTTATCAACGCTGTTAAGTACCCTTGTCAGTCTACTAACGCACTACCTAGGTATTTTAAACCTAGGTGAATATAAATATCAGTGATGGTTAAGGAAAGTATTTCGTTATTTTTGCCATATGCTCATAACATGCTTGTTAGCATGCAGGCTAACTAAGATATACAGATGTATTCTGGGCTCTAAACGGTTATGAGATTTCGTTGAGAGCATCTGTTCAATAACATTTTTTTTTTTTGCCTATCACGTTATTGTACAGTGCTGTGTGTGCCTTGATAAGTTAAAATAACTAATTTTGCCTACCAGAGCTGCAAGCACATCCCCCGTGTCCATGCTGACGCCTTTTGACCCGGATGAGCTGCGAACACGTCCTGACTACAGGTCATGTGATTTAAATGCGTTTTGTTGTTTTCAGTCTGCTGTTCAGATCAGCTATTGAATTCAAGAAGTATGAGGGGGG